GTCTCACACATCCTGGCAGCATAAGACATTGCATCAGGGGAGCGCCTGTAACGCCCCATGACAGGATGCCGAGGTTGCTAACACGTGAAACTGGGATTCAAACCACTAACTGTTTTGCTATGAAGCTTGGCAAAAACACTTTAATTTAATGCAGCAACCTCCTGTGTGAGCCAAAAAAAAAAAAAAAAAAAGCTGCAGGCTGCTAAAGGATGAGGTGTCGTTAGCTCAAGTCTAATAAAATGCTGGCGTCAGGTAAAAACAATAGTCAATTGTAGGAGTGTGAGCTGAACTGTCATCAGCGGCAAAATGCATCATATAACAGGCAGGGAGACACGAGTACTGCCCTCATTTTAATACAGACTGACAAACAAGGTGGAGCGCGGCGAAGTGGGGGGAGAAGAGGGGGGGCCACAAGATAAACAAGAGCGGCCCAGACAGGGAAGATGCATGGCGTGTGCTGAGGCCCACAGGTTTTACAGGTGGCTTCAGACGAGTCATTTATACTAAAAAAAGGACAACGAGTCAGCCGCAGTCGCCAACGAATGAATAGTGTGGCTGCAGGCAACTGCATGAGTTAGTTTAAAATCATGCCGGAGAATAATACCCACGCCTCGGGAGTCGCTGTGTGCATCACAGTGCAATGACGCAGAAGCGCCAGCTCTCTGCTCTCCGTGTGGCTCAGCCTTCCTCTCACCGACCCTCAGTCAGTGGATAAGACCAACAGAAAGCACCGCATGCCGCCGTCTCAACCTATATATTCTTCCCAAGTTAAAATCTTCAGCACACAAAGCCCAATTAAATCTGCCCTTGGGGGAAAGTGAAAGGAGTAATCTCCAAGCACCAAAATTAGAATAAAAAAAACTAATCATAAGTCTGTAAAAATCCAACTCTCAAATAGCCTATTTTATAATGTTTAATAAACCAACACAGCAGCCTCGGGGGTGAAACGTCTCAAACTGTTGAGCTGACGACACATTACTAATGATTCCTGGGTGTAACGCCGGTTATATTTAGAAACGCGGTTCTTCCTTTCTTGATTGATGGTGAAATTGCTCTTAGTTTTAAGTGCTTCATCCAATTATGATTTAAAAAAATAAAAAATAAAACAAAACACATTGCCTGGGAAATAACTGTGTTTGTTAAAGCAGCATATGATTCATCGGGATTTTACAGCCTGCTTATGGCAGAGAGTGGTCATTATTGGACAATTAAAATGTAAATGTGCGGGATTTTACTATCTAAATGTCACCTCTTTAAAGTTGAGTGGATAAACAATGTTCGACGTAGTTTGGAAACAGTACGTGTAACACAAACACTCAGTGTTTCAGCACCTGGAAAAATATAAGAAAAATATGTTTTAAAGAAAAAATATATATACGAGGAGCGAACAAGTTTGACAGCTGTCATTGTCGGAACATGACGTTCAGATAAAGAAATAGAAAGGCAAAAACGTACCGGTCTGGAGTTGAGGTCTTCAACAGGGAGTCTACAACTGTCTGCACAAGTGATTCCTAACCTCTGGGTCGTGGAACTCTAATGTGCCCGGCAGGATCTTCTGGTATACTATTAACTTTTACTTAGTTGGTCTGAAAAGTATTTTCTTGTTCACCGCTAACAATTTGTCTGCGAAACAGTAAAATACTCTGCTCGTCACACCAGGGTCAGCTAAGGTGGAATTTGAACCTGCAATCCTCCGATAACAAGCCTGATCCTCTTAACCCTAGACCTCGGGATGCCCTTTAAAAGCTCGAAAAGTTTATAAAGGTTTTCTCCAAAAAATCTATTTTATGCCATACTCCATACAGTAGGGCAGTTTTTCTCCATCAGTTTGGTGGTTCTGCATCTGAGAATGGTTACAAACCCTGGGTTCAGAATAAAGCTGATAGAATATTTTCCATCAAGGATTGACAGTGTCTCGTTTGACTCTGTGTCCAAACTGTCCGACGAAGGAAAAACGAAATAAAACTCAAACATGAGGGAGAACAATGATATCCTGTCCTTCCACTGAGTGCTCTGTGTAATCTTTGGTTATTACGACTTTTTACTTCACTGCTCTCCTTTTGATTTATTTTGTGAAAGCCTCTTTTGATCCTGTTATTCCCCCAAAGGCTTTCTCAAAGCCCAATTTGGAAGCAAGCGAAAAGATGAAAATGTAATACAAATGATCCAGCATTCCACAAAACATTAAGCTGATAAATTTAGACCATGTCGTTATACTCTCCGAATTTGAGCTTTTCCATCATACACTAATATAGTTTCTGCCTTTAATGGTACAGTCGGTGTGGCTTTATATGGCTATAATCTTCCATATAACACCCCTTTGGGATTTTGAAATCGAATCTAAAATGTAAAGCCTTTTAATTTTGAATGTTGAGAAACCTTGTGATGAATTCAAACGCTGATTAAAAAAAACCAAATTGTCACATTAAAACAGATAAAAAACATATATATATATTTATATATGTATATATGTATGCATATATGTACATATACATACATATACTGTATGTTTATGCATACATATATACATAAATATATATACACATATATATGCATTTATACATGTACATATATGCATGTATATGTGTGTGTATATCAGTGGTGTTGTG